GCAGTTGGCAGAGGCGTGCCCGAAGGCCTGGCATCGGTGGCATTGGGCTGGTCCTGCTTTCCTTTGCCAGGCCTCGATGACGACCCCTCTCATGTAGAGGAGTTCGTCGATGTTATAAAGATCCTGGAGCTGCTCTAGGTTCAAGTGGTCCAGTTGGGCAAAGTAGACGCAGCCAGGTCTGCTTCTACGAGGTGGTATTGCCTTTACGTATTTTATGGGGAAGCCTTTTGCCCTTATAGCCTCCTCTATTGCTTGGGTGTCCGTGCACATTGGTAGACACCGGATGCCCACTTTGGTGGGCTTATCCCCCCTCCGGGGTGTAACAGTACCACGACAGTGTTGGTGTTTTCTTGGTTAGTTCTACCATGTATCGCTGTACTGTGCGGAATTCATACGCGCTTTGCGGTGTGAACCGTACGCCTTTCCCGAACGGACGGGCATTTATGGGGTGGCCCAACATCCTATTGAGCTCCTTAAAATGCCTCGTCCAGTCCGGTAGGCATTCTGCCACTATCGGTGGGTAGCGGCCTTTCTCTTGGTCGGCAGGCTTCTCAGTAGGCACTGCCGCCGGTGGTGGTCGTGGTACTGCCGGCGCTGCTACCACATGGGCATAGCTGGTAGATGGCCGTTGGCCATCGTCCTGCGGGAGCCCGGACGGATTGGTTGTTGCCACCGGCGATGATCTGCCGGCGGATGCTGCGAGGGTGGCATACGTGGTTGACCCCCAACTATAGGATTCTTCGCCCCCCTGCTCGTACTGCGCCGAATCATGGCTTCGCCGGTCCGGTGATATTGAGCGGTGGGGGGGTTGCGGTGGTGAAGGTGACTTAGGTGGCGATCTCAGCACCTTCTTTGTAGTCACCTGGTGGTAATCGTCATCCTCTTTCGATGTAGATGGCGCTTCATCGGAAGATAATTGGGAGCCAATCCGTTGCCTCTTCTAGTATAAGGAGGCTTCAGTTTCAGAAGGAGTATGTCGTCTTGCCGTTTTCATTGCCCGCTGTGGTTGGGGCGACGGTTCCTGCCTGGCCGTGTGCTTAGACACGGCCGGCGTGAGCGCGACGCTCGGTGCGGGCTCTTTCCGTGGCGAGACGGGTTTTCTTTGAGGGATCTGCGAAAAGGATGACACTATTCTAGTGCGCTCCGGGTTCGCCAGATCCCTCACAGTCAGTGGTCGTTCCAACACACCTTTTCGGTCTGGTGGTTTTCTAGATGGGGGGAGGCTCCCCCTTTTTCTTGTCGGACATAATGACCTACCTACGTCAGTCAGGTAATCTAACTTACGGCCCTGTCTAAAATATGGTATGTAAAATAGTGACTTTCTACACTTGGGGCACTGCCTACCCCTTTTGGCAACAAAAGGGTTGGGGAAGTGCAACGGTGGCACTTTATTACGCGACTAGGCACAGGATGCACGAAGCGCATAAAGTGCCAAGAATCACCTAGGGGCCGGTGACCTCGACGCCTCACGGAATCACGGGACTCAACGTTCGGCGGAGTTTGTCGTACCGGCGGTCGTTTGCAGCCACTGCTAACTACAAAAGACGCACACCTAGAAGATCCTTGATATACCGATAGTCAGCAATTGCTTAGAGAAATTATCAGCAGATAGATCGTTCAACAATGCAATTCTCATATTTACTGACAGTTGAAGTTTCTTCACATATCGCCACAGATTTGATGCTTTGAGGCAAGCGTTTATTTCGTCGGCAGCAGTAGCTCTTGTAATGACTGGTACTGTTTGTCGAAAATCGCCAGATAGTAAAATCATCGCATCACCAATACATCTCGAGTCATTGCGCAGATCTTTTAATGTTCGGTCAAGTGCTTCCAATGCGCGTTTATGCGCCGTTGTGCATTCGTCCCATATTATGATTTTTGATGCTACCAAAACTTTGGCCGTTGCGGAGTGTTTCGAAATGTTACACGTCGGTTGTTCAGTAGTTTGAAGGTTGGCAATTTTAACGCTGAGTGAGCCGTACGGCATCCGTCTAACAATGTGGCCGCTATTCCAGAAGAAGCAACTGCTACCGCAATTTCGGATCTCGCACGTACAGTGGCCAAAATCAATGACATGAGGAATGTCTTTCCAGTTCCACCGGGGGGCATTCAGAAAAAATAAGCCACCATTTCATCAATTGCATTAACCAATGTATCATAAGACTTCCCTCTGTTTAGGATTCAACAGTGGTACATTCGTTTGAAGTGATTGGACTAATTCATGTGGATCATATTCACGTTCACGTTCCAGTTCTCTATTAAATGCGTCATTCATTCCGCGATCTGACGCTGGCATTCCTAGCCTGACTAACAAACTGCCGCACATGAGGTAACACATATCTTCGATCCGGAGCAAAGCCTGGTTATGTATCTCCTCATTCGCCTCAAGATTGGGATTTCTTGTGCTGACACGAATTCGATGTAAAATGTCTTTCATTCTCAATTCTGACATGTTATCTTTGTATTTGTTCCACAGGTCTCGTGGGTTCGATGGGAAGCATGTCGAAATGATGATAGCAAATAATGTGCGTATCTGACTTGGAGATGCAGAAATAATTTCTTCAGCGATTGTCGTGTCCCAATGAGTATCGTTTTCAAGCAAATTGAGCTCTTGACATGCTGCACGAAATGTGGGGCACATTATACCATTAACAGTTCGTAGTGATTCAAAGGATGTTGGCCGTCGAACATGTACCAGCAACAACCGCAAATAGAAACATTCATCATTCTTCGGATGAACTGTGTAAATACGACCAAGAGCATCAGTAGAACGCATATCTAGATGACCAAGAACTGCATCGCCTTGCTTTCGACGTTGAAATTTCTTCGATGTAGAGTTTCAAGTGTAATAACGTGGCATCTCCGAGTAAAGCAACGTTCGTGCGAACGGATCGCTTTGACAAATCGCAAAGAAACTGGTCAATGTTGTCGCTGGAGGTCTTTCGGCACGTTGAATAGCATTCGACGCTGTGAAATATACTCTCTGACCGTTCTCTAGATGCACCCCCAAATGCACAACAGTGGGATGACGGTCGTGAATAGGGAATGAGAATATACGCCAAATTGCTTCATTGCTGTTCACATATCTACCAACTTGATAGCACGTAATTTCATCGTTAGTATTGGATGCTTGGATACCAAAAACCGCCATGTCGCTGCCTTTCGTGACATATTTGCAAATGTATTTAATTGACTTGACCGAATTGCAATACTCAACATTACAATGTGCCTTGAATGTTTTGGAAAGAAGTGGTGAATATGGAACAATCCAACTGTTATCGACCACGAAATCGTTTTCTTTCACTTTAGTTGTGATAGTTCTACCATTATCATCCGGCGATCGACGCCGATACAGTGGATAACCATCGTTGCCGGTGATGGTCTCTGCCGTCAATTTTCGTGGATACCGTTTGGAACACTTGCCGTCGACCATTCACGGTGATTGGCGGTTAATGGTGCCACACGGTCCATGAATCATATTCGTGATTACAACCTCATGTAGGTCTGGATCGGTTTCAGGATCAGGAATCTCCGCACATATGATGTCATCTATTTGATCTGGCCGAATTCTTTCGACAAACCAAATTAGAATGCGTGCATGCGGCAAGCCTCGTTTTTGCCATTCGATTGAATACATCCAGCATCGAGTAGTGCCAAAGACGTGTTGCTTAACAATGTAATTCATGAGTGACCGGATTTTTTGCTTGAAAACACGTGCGGTGATGTCGTGTCGATCACTTGATGTTTGTCCGGGAAGCAGCAGTTGAATAATATCCATCCATTTCGGATTACATGTAAATGTAATGAATAGATCTGGCCGACCATAATGACGAACATATGTCATTGCATCTTGCGCATATTCATGCATATGACGCGGGCTACCTGTGTATGTAGTCGGTAAAATAGTCAATCGACCAACATTTTCTGCATCTCCTTCTGCGCTAATTGCATCGCGTAAATGGATATACTCTTCCGAACGTAATTTAGCTTGGTTCAACCGAATGAAAGTCAGGCTCTCCGTTTCGATTTTAACGTACATGTCAACGCAATATTGTTGAAGCAGTCGACGAAATCGCAACAAATAATTGTCAGAATTTTCACGAATCATCAAACGATGTGCGTAATAATTCATCGAACTAACCTTCTTGGTAGTTTCCTCACCTGAAACAAATATAGTAAAATTTGTATTTTAGAAAAAAATCCATGTCTGTATTCCTTGAAGGGGTAAACAGAATGTCATCACTAAGTTTTGTTCAATATTTTCTAAACCAACAACCCCTAATAGGGTTAACGACTCTTACAACTACTCTCTGCTAAATTTGGAGTGATAAATTTTTTTGGTTACCAAAAGCAAACAGAATAAAATGTATATCAAGTTAAAATGAAAACTATGACACTTACCATTCAATGGATTAATCATTTTGATATTGAAGTGATATCCATCGTTTTCTTGCTAAAACATCAGCGGGTATTGTAATGCGTCATATGAACTGTGTGTTTCAAATATTTTTTGTAGTTGCCCAGTATTGCGTCGTGTAAGTACAATATCACGTGTTTCTAAGTTTTCACCAACAATCAGGATTGCCACTTCATCAATTGTTGGAGCATTAAATGTGCGTTCGTGTGTTCCAGCTGGTCGTTTATCTGTTCTGATCACAACTTTATAATCATCACTTGGCATGCGCTCTAACGCAGTCTTGAACAGCCTGACCAATGCATGATGTTCATGAAGCAGTTGCTGCAGATCTTGGAGAATTGCTCTTTTTGTAGCTGTGTTGATCCCTTGACGCCGGTCAAGTTGTTCTTCCATATTGCCCATGAAGTATATTTGCAAGAATTTATGCTGTGCATTTTCATGAGGTTGCAATGATCCAATGCGATGGTAAATCTGGCCTTGAATCTGTAAAGTCGAAGGCATAGTTAGATTTACAATTATATTTTTTTTTTCAAATGATAATATGCCATTTTCATTTTAGAGACAAATATAGAAATCTAACAAACTACATTCCAGCAATTACCTTAAATGTCGGATTATATCCGTGTTCTTCGATAATTTCCGCCCCAAATGAAGTCATTTGAAAACAGACATTGTATTTTTGAGTGTTCGCTAGAAAATGTCGTGATTCTGGAGTTTCGCCATTAAGCAAGGAACACAATGGCTGTGGTGGCGGAACCAATAATGGCAATTTCACTTTACCACTAAGGCAGCACAAACCAGGCGTTTCACCAGCAAACTTCAATGCGCCACAATGCTGGCAAACAACGTCCATTGGACCAATGCAAACTAAACGATGCAAGCTGTAGTCGATGGTGCAATCATATAGAAACGCTGCTCGATTCAAATCAACGCTTGAACCATTTCTTCTTGCACGTCGAAGATTATCCCTCTGTTGATCTGTACGATAAGCTCGACGATTTCTCGTTTCTAACCTAGCCGTTTCACGGGCTGCCTCTCTTTCCTCTTGTGTTTGAGTGGCACGAATTAAATCTCTTCTTCGCTCCATACTAACGCGGCGCTCTTCTTGTGCAATGTTTCGTTCTTCATCAGACAATTGACTCGCGATGTTCCGTTGCCTAATTGCAGTACGGCTTCGGTGGGAAAGATTAGATGTTCTAGGACGTGGCATTGTTACTAATACTAATACTGAATATGTACTCGCACAAAACCACACAAAACAAACATATAACAGTAGCTAAACTTTCGTGACATAGACATTGATTGACAATAGTTTAGATCATAGACTACTACTTTGGATACTGCACATTTTAACCTTTGTAATTATATATCTTAGAAAATCATAGACAACATAAAAAGACATTTACGCTTTCGATAACTTAAATAATAAATCTTAGAAATTGTTTTCGAAAATAGAAACTTTAATTTACGCAAAATAAAGTCATGAACGCACGCGTAAATGTTAACCATTTGTCATTATTTCTGAACGCAGGCATATATATTTGAGGAACTTCTATTTAAATCTGCTTAATACAATTTTCAACCTTTTTAATTGATTAAAAAAAAATTCAGACAAAAGTTTATTCACCCTTTTTAAATAGTTTACACAAAATACATTTCTGAACGCATGCATAAATGTCAATCACAGTATTTGACAGGATGACAGGAGGAAAACAAATGTTTGACAAGTACGAAACAAAGGAACATAATTAAATGGAAAATGATTCATTTTCATAATTATGTATTCGTCAAGTTTTCATTGTTTTTAAAATGTATTCTGCTATTCAGGGCGGAGACAAATCCAACGAAACAAAAACCATGAAAATTGATCCAGCCGATCTCGAGTTATAAGTGTTGTAACAAACCCGTCTTTGTTTTATATATATAGATTGACAGATAAAGAGCTATCTTTTCGTAAAGCCATCCATGCAAACAAAGCTGTTGTTTTTGAATAATAAGAAAGTGGCCATATTATAACATAACCGGTGGGGAAAAAAGGTTCTCGAGTGGCAGCCTCGTACCGGTAGGCGTAGTGTAGGGTGACCCACCCCCCCCCCCTCCCTAGATGGTGTGACGACCTGGTAAGACATGCAGGAAGTCGATGGATGCAGGTGGCTCTGGAACGTTCTTTGTGGCATACCTTGGGGGAGGCCTATGTTCAGCAGTAGACTTGTGAAGGGCTGTAATGATGATGATGATGATAACCTTATCCTCACGTACTATATTAATAATTAATGACAATGCAATGATTTCATGAACAGTCATGAAATTATTGTCAGCTGTCTCAGTCAAGTTCGGTCAGCCTAGTACTTTCACTAGGAGCAACACAGCACAATGCGTGTTACGTTTCTTTTTAACTTTTTTATTATATTATTTTTTATATACAACCTTTATTGAGGTTTAAAATGGGCTGACTTAATGTTATACTGTATTGTCTAAACCTGGATAATTTGGAAAACTGGGACAGGTGCAAATAGATTACGAAATAAAATGAGCAATCAATAAGAAACATAATAATATAATTTCCTCCCGACCGACTGAGTTTCGGTCAAGACGAGGTTATAGTGTTCGAGTGTATGCGCAACCACAGGTGCACTCCCTATTCACTCACTATCATATTCCGATAGAACTGTAATTCGACACGACCGGAGGGAAATCAGGCACAGGACCAACGGTTTTGTGTTTTTTCCGAGATACGGGAGTATAACCCCGCCAATTTTCAGACTCCGGGATGGTATTACGAACTTCTTGACTTTGAACCGACCCGGAATTCAAACCTGAGACCTCATGAACAGCAGTTGCATTTGTGGTCACTAGACCAACGAGGTAATTGGATAAAAAGCAAGAAAATATAAGGAAGAGTGCATTCCGAAAGATGTTGTTATTATAGCAATATTTTACGCCATGTGTAAAATTCAACGGCGACATCTGCCATGTATGTCCATTAAGGCAAATCTTTTATACAATGAGAAAGTCATGTGTCCAATAGTGGGCTTCTACAGGCTAATGAGAAAGAAGTAGACTTTTTTGTAAAAGTAATTATAAAAAGAAAATTACACTCGTGAGATATTTTTAAATCATAATGAAAGGAAACCTTTCTTCTTATAGCGGACAGAACCCTTAATCGCTTTAGGTATAGGTGTAGCTGCCTTTCAAATTTACCAGACCCAGACATTGTGGGTCTAGGCCTCAACCCGCTGCTGAATGCCTCATCGGAGTATGGATATTTAGGTAGCTCACCAATTGTCTGGAAAAGGTTCGTAAGCGAATAAGTCCTTTGCTTTTTAGACATTTTGCAACTAATTATTGCTAGAACATGCTAGGCATTCTTATGTCATTATCACATGGTATATCATCATTGTCATACCATTACAGGCTCCTTTCATAGGCCTCGGTGGTGACAACTCATCGGCAGCCAATTTTATTTGAATGAAATTTGTTTCATGACGACCGGTAGCTCCTTACATATTAAGTAGACAAACGAGCACACAGTCCACCTGACGGTAAGTAGATGCTGTGGACATTTGGCCCGTAGACATTTATATTTATCTTGATTAGGAATCAAAATACAGATGCGTTGGCACGCCTGAGGATTAATGTGGAACAATCCTTTCGGCCGGACAAAACAAATAGAATGGTGACCTCGTAAGAGATGCAGAAAATCGATTGCTGCATGTGGGTCGGGACCGTGCTTTATGACAATCCTTGGGGAAGACCTGTGTTCAGCAGTGAACTTGTGATGGCCGTTATGATAATAATTATATCATCATCATCATCATCATCATTACAGCCCTTCACAAGTTCACTGCTGAACATAGGCCTCCCCCAAGTAATGCCACAAAGCACGGTCCTGAGCCACCTGCATCCATCGACTTCCTGCATGTCTTACCAGGTCGTCACTCCATCTAGTGGGGGGTCGCCCTACACTACGCCTACCGGTACGAGGCTGCCACTCGAGAACCTTTCTTCCCCATCGGTTATCGGTTCTTCGAGCTATATGGCCGGCCCATTGCCACTTCAGCTTACTAATCCGTTGGGCTATGTCGGTCACTCTGGTTTTACTGCGGATATCCTCATTTCTGAGTCTATCACGCAGGGAAACTCCGAGCATAGCCCTCTCCATAGCTATTATTAATAATTATATAACAACATCTAATGAAACTACGAGTAAATTAATTAATAACAGATCGTCTTGAAAATACTCACGAACCAACCTCTTGAAGGATCCCTCACTAGATACTTTCTGATATCTACATGGTAAGAGTTCCAGAGTAACACTGCTCTTATGCTACCGAGGTGCAGCTCAACACTGAAGTAACTTGAAAAGAAGATCATTACATCAATACAGACTGGAAGGTATTAAATCTTAGACCTCAGAGATAATAAATCAACGATAGCCATCTTTGATTGAGTGAACTAGTTTTAATGTGGATGATTCCTCCTTTAACACATTGATATTAAAGATAATTATACAATATGCCGTACGCCGTGTAGTGGCGGTTGAGAATATCCACTACCCCATATCTTCCCGTGGGTGTCGTAAGAGGCGACAGAGGGACACAGAAAGGAGATGGGCAGCAGCATCTTCCTAATAACAACTATGACAATAAAAAACTGCGGTTGCCAACCCGCTCGCCAAGCGTGGCAACTATGGCAAATATCCCCCCATGAGCAACGACGCAAATAAACGGCCCCCAGTCCCCGGCGGCCCCGCTATTCCTGGCTACGGTGGCGACCATGGTAACGGCGGGGCAGGGGGTGCTAAGAATCTCCGGTGGAGGTTCGGTTGCCACCTACGACGACTCGACCTGGCAACGTATAACGCACGCACCCTGAGGACTGACGAGAAGATAATGGAGCTAGAAGAAGAGGTAGACAAGTTGCGCTGGCATATTATTGGATTATCTGAGGTCCGAAAAGAGGGGGGAGGACACGGTAATCCTCGAGTCCGGCAACTTGTTCTATCACCGGGAGGGCGACCATCTGTCCCAAGGAGGTGTCGGATTTATCGTCCACAAGTCTCTCGTCAACAACGCGTCGCGTACCTGATACTCAGAATCACCAAACGGTATTCGCTGAAGGTCATACAGGTCTACGCGCCAACCTCGGCACATCCCGATGAGGAGGTGGAGGAAATGTATGAGGATATTTTTAAAGCCATGCATTCCTTCAAAACCCACTACACGGTGTTGATGGGAGACTTCAACGCAAAACTAGGCACAAGAGAAGGCGGTGAGCTGAAGTTAGGGAATTTAGGAGTAGGGCAACGGAACCGTAGGGGCCAGCAGCTGGCTGACTTTATGGAGAAAGAGGGACTCTTTATGATGAACTCTTTCTTCCAGCAGCGGCCCCATAGGAGGTGGACCTGGTCGAGCCCCGACGGTTCGACAAAAAATGAGATTGACTTCATTATGACGACCAGACGCCAACTGTTCAGTGATATCTCAGTGATCGCAAGGGTGAAAACCGGCAGCGATCACCGAATGGTTAGAGGCACACTGAACCTAAACGTTAAGTTGGAGAGGTCCCGTCTAATGAAGTCAACGCTCCGTCCCCCTCGTGCTCTAATCCAGAATCCCGAATCTTTTCAGCTCGAGTTACGTAACCGCTTTCAGTGCCTAGAAGATTGCAATGCAGTGGACGATATGAATGACAAGCTCGTGGAAACTGTCCATGCGGTCGGAGCTAAGTTCTGCAAGACCCGCCGCAGAAGAACACAAAAACTCTCCGATCACACTCTTAATCTCACGGCTGTTAGATGGGAGATGAGGCTGCAATCGTCAACAGATTTGACAGCATACAGGCAACTGAACAGACAGATCTCCAAATGCATGCGGCGAGACTTACGCAACTTTAATACTGCTCGTATTAAAGAAGCGATCGAGCGGAACCAGGGCTCCAAAGTCTTTTCCAGAGATCTGCCAGAAAGAGCCAACTGTCAAAGCTGAAGACTGAGTGTGGCAGCATCGTTTCCGAGACACCTGAGATTTTGAGTGAGATTGAGAGGTTCTATGGGCAGCTGTACACATCATCGTTGGAGCCACACGCAAGTGTGATTAACGATCCAAGAGCAAGTCTTACCCGACACTATTCCGATGATATCCCGGACGTCAGTCTGAGCGAGATTAGAATGGCTCTCCAGCACCTTAAAAACGGCAGGGCCCCAGGCGA